TTTTTTTTTTTTTTTTTTTTTTTAGTAGAGATGGGGTTTCACCATGTTAGCCAGGATGGTCTTGATCTGCTGACCAATGTGCTGGAATTACAGGCGTGAACCACCACACCTGGCCAAAAAATACTATGTTTAAAATCCCTTACAGATAGATTCTGACTTACTCACTTGGAAAACCAATTTAAAAAGCAATTAAAAACAGTAAAGGAGAAAAGTCTATTTTTCAGTTTTCTGTATTGGGGAACACCTGTATTTTTATTGGATTTACCATTTATGTTAGATTTTGAATAGTGAGGGTGAAAATGATATATACAACCATTTGTTTAAAAACAAGAACACTGTTTGCCTAGAAGAGCAAATTTTGGAAGTCTACAAACATGAAAATTTCCTTTTTTTTTAATTTTAATTTTTTGTGGAGACAGAGTCTTGCTATGTTGCCCAGGCTGGTCTCAAACTCCTGGCCTCAAGTGATCCTCCTTCCTCAGCCTCCCAAAGTGTTGGAATCACAGGCATGTGTTACCACGCCCAGCCACAAATATGACAGTTTAATAGCTTTATCTCCCAATAGTGCAATTAGCAGATTAAAAGAGGCCTTTTTTCCCCCCATATAACCTTCTTAAAATTTTTTTGCAATGAACACTTATTCAAAATAGTAAATGTTGGCAAGAATTTAGAAGAACTGCACTTTGGGAGGCTGGGGTGGGCAGATCACTTGAGATCAGGAGTTTGAGACCAGCCTGGCCAGCATGGTGAAACCCCGTCTCTATTAAAAATACAAAAATTAGCCAGGCATGGTGGTGGGCATCTGTAATCCTAGCTATTCAGGTGGCTGAGGCAGGAGAATCACTTGTACCTTGGAGGCAGAGGTTGCAGTGAATCGAGATTGCTCCATTGCACTCCAGCCTGGGTGACAGAGCAAGACTCCATCTCAAAAAAAAAAAAAAAAAAAAAAAAAAATGGAAAACACTTCAACAGCTTTTTATAAAGTTAAACATACACTGACCATAAGATCCAGCCACTCCACTAAGAGAAAATGAGAGCATATGTCTATCCAAAGACTTGGACACTAATGTTTATCACAGCTTTATTTGTGATAGCTGAAAACTAGAAACAATCCAAACATACATCAACAGGTAAATGAATAAACCTGTTGGAGTATATATCCATACAATGAAATGCTATCATCAACAAACAAGGAATAAACTGTTAATACATGTAACATGGATGAAATAGTCATGGTAAATAAAAGAAGCCAGACAGAAAAGAGCACATACTATATGATTCCATTTATATAAAACTCCAGAAAGGGCAAACAAATCTATATGACAGAAGTAGATGAGTGGTTTCTAGAGGGCAAGGGGATCATCTAAACATGAGGAAACTTTAGGGTTGATGGATAGGTTCATTATCTAGAGTTTGATGATGATTTCTCAGGTATATTTTAAACTCATTGTATACTTTAAGTGTAATGTATGTCGCTTATAAATATTTAAAAGGACATAGCCAGGGGAAGGTGGAACAAGATGACTGAATAGAAGCCTCCACTAATCTTGCTCCCTGCAGGAACACCAAATTGAATAACTATCCACACCCACAAAAGCACCTTCATAAGAACCAAAAATCAGGTGAGCGATCACAGTACCGGTTTTAATTTTGTATCACTGCAAGAGGCACTGAAAGGGTAAGACAGTCTTGAATTGCCAAATGCTATCTCTCCCCAATCTCCCGCAGCAGCCGCCTGGCAAGGAGAGAGAATTTGTGCTTCTGGGACCGGAAGAGTGCAGTGATTGTCAGACTTTGCATTGGAACTCAGTGCTGCCCAGTCACAGCACAAAGCTGCACTGGGAAGAACTCACCCAGGGCCCATGGAGGGATCATTTAGACCAGCCCTAGCTAGAGGCAAATATTCCATCCCAGCAGTGGGAACCTGAGTTCCAGTAAGCCTCACCACCATGGGCTGAAGTGCTCTGAGGTTCTACATAAACTTGAAAGTCAGTGTAGACCACAAGGATGGCAATTACTGGGCAAGTCTTGGTGCTGTGCTGGGCTCAGAGCCAGTGGATGTGGGGAGAATACAACCTAGTGAGATACCAGCTGGTATGGCCAAGGGATTGCTTGCACCACCCCTCCCCCAGCCGCAGGCAGAGCAGCTCAAAGCTCAAGGAGAGACTCCTTTCCTCTGTTTGAGAAGAGGAGAGGGAAGAATAAAGATGACTTTGTCTTCCATCTTGGATACCAGCTCAGCTGCAGTAGGATAGGGTACCAGGCAGAGTCCTGAGGCCCACATTCCAGGCCATAGGTCCAAGCTGACATTGCTAGCCACACCCTGGGCCAGAAGGGAACTTGCTGCCTTGAAGGGAAGGACCAGTCTTGGCAGGATTCCTCACCAGCTGACTGAAGAGCCCTTTGGCCCTGAATAATAAGTAACCAGGGAGTACTCATCATGGGCTTTGGGTGAGACTCAAAAACATGCTGGCTTCAGGTATGACCCAGCACATTCCAGCTGTGGTGGCTATGGGGAGAAATTTCTTCTGCTTGAGAAAAGGAGAGGGAAGAGTTAAGGGGACTTGGCTTCTGTGGGGTTAGAATATTAAGTGGGCTCTTAGGGTCTCTGATTCCAGGGCTTTGGCTCTTGGATAGCATTCCTGGACTTTCTCTGGGCCAGAGGGGAGCCCATTTCCCTGAAGAGTAAGTCCCAGGCTGGGCAGCATTCACCACGAGCTTACTGAAGAGCCCATGGGCCTTG